ATTTCTGTGCAACTGCTTTCTCGTAATTCCAACAGTATCCCTAATTTGTCATTTTAGAATACATGTCTTAAATTAACAGTAACCTTTCAATTTTCCAAGCTACAGCACAAACTGTGCTGAAAGCATTTATTTTTTTCTAATTTTTTAGCAAATTTATGTTCTTAAACATAACGACAACCGTTTAAAAAGGCGTCTACTATCACTGAGCATTGTGAACTAAGCAAAAGAGGGCAGGAAGTTCACACTCTCACTAAGAAAAGGAAACTTCCACACCGAAGACAACTCATCAGTATAGATCCAGTGTTTTAATAAAATACCAAAACATAAGTGCGTTTCAGGAGACTGGAACAGCTTCACTGAGGGCATGAAACTTGAGGGGACTGAAGCAGCTGAAGGATTAAGATATGGGGAAAAGAAAAGGGGGAAAAAAAAAGTAAGGGGAAAAGAATGGGAAGACTAGGCAGCAAAAGGGAAATACAGCCCACCAGGAGTCAGGTATTTACCCTGGGGCACCACACCTGGAAAGGCACCTGCAGTAAAGTGGAGGACACCCAAGTGATTTCAGCATTAACCCTCCGTTGGGCGCAATGCAGAAGTTATGAGTTTGGGCACAATGCATCTATAACAAATGCGTGTAAGACATTTATCAATTTAAATTGAAAATGAATGAAAATAACGTGTAAACATGCTTATTATTTATTCAGATTGAAATTTTAATTTGCCACAAAGTAAAAACAATGTTTATTACATAAATTTATTATAAAAACAACAGAAATTCAAAACAATCTGTGAGAACAGTTGCGCCCAATAAAGGGTTAAACTAAGAAGAAACAGCCTGCTCTCAAGTCGCAGGCCTGCTGCTTCTACTGCCTTTTCTCTTTTTTTACATAAATTAGTCCTTTGTGTTATAAATACATGAGCACTGTAGAAAATTGGAGGAAAAAACCCCAAAAAGAAACTAAAAATAACCCATAATTCCACTGCTCAGAGATAATCACTATTAATATTTTACTGTATTATTTTTCTTTAACGCATATATTCACACACATCGAAAAATTGTTACATGTTATATATGTTGTTTTATGGCTGTCCTGTTGTAATTCAGGCTTTACCACCTACTAGGCCCCACCTCACCCACTCAAAGCCTCAATTTCTTAACCTATGTGCTGTAAGGTGAACTAAACAATAGTGCCTACACTCCACGGGATTTGGTGAAGACTTCAAGTGGAAGGATGCTCATGAACAAAGCAGGAATTAAATGAATGTTGGTGTGGGCTGTGTTGAGACATGGGGGACAGACACACACCACATGTCCCTGCCCCACAGGAGGTCTGTCTAGTGGGAGAAGCCAAGTCCAGCCAAAGGGTTAAGGGGCTCATGGGATCCCAGAGAAGTCTCCTAGCCTGGGGGGGGGGGGCACCAGGGTCTGAGCTGAAACTTGCCTTTTTAAAGGAGCAGGAATCTGTCAGGTGACAGGAAGGGTCCATGGCACTCTAGACAGAGGGGAAAGCAGGAATAAAACCAGAGGAGCAGCAGCATGGGAAATCTGGAGAACTGGTGCAACAGTGACGCGGAAGTGTGGAGTGGGAACCTGGGAGGGGACTCTGCTTACGTGATCCAGTTCCCCACGGAAAAAAATTTAAATCACTGTCTAACTTAGGCTTCACAACTCAGCTCTTCAAACATGAGTAAGATTATGCTTTATAGGACAGTTTTCCAAACGCTGTTCATGTTAAAAGCTATGACATCCCCATGGAATACACATGCTTTGAGGACCTAACGAAATCTTAAACACTGTCAGCTAAAAATCATCTTTTTACAAATAAAGAAATGGAGGCCCAGCAAAATTAAGCTCAAACTAGATCCCTTGTCTTTTCCCCCAAGCAAAATGTTCTATGGCTAAGCAAAAATAAGACGCTTTTTTAGAAGCCAGAAAATATCTGTGAGAATAAAAACTTTACAAGTCGTTAAATGTTCTAATGATCTTGTTTATGGTGTGCATTATTAAATGTATATATATAAGCAGGGAACTGGAAGGCCTTAGTAATAGAATAATCTTAAGGTTTTATTTAAATTTGATTTATTTTTCATATGTTCATTTCTCAGTTTTGAAAAGCAAACAAAAGGACACACCTTACTGAAAAACTCTCAGGTATCAAAAAAAGCAGGGCAAATGTCGACTTGGTCCTTAAAAATAGTACACTCTTTTCTCCAGACATATCTAAAAGACAAGTTGAACATTCGCCCCCAAAAGACATTTTATTCCAGACTGACTCAACTGCTGAGGGTAGAAAGCCCATGGCAAAGAATACAAACACATTCCTAAGTGTTTGGGGCCCTCATTTTTAATGTGAAGAATGGCAAGTAAGTCAATTTAAAGCATATTCATTTTAACTTCCCATGCTAAAAGAAAGGCACACAGTGCCTGCTGGGTAAATTGGGAGTGAACTTCTGATACAAGGCCCTCGGGGCCCAAGAATGGCCCCTCCTGGAAGAGCCGTCACAGCAAACTAGTACCACCAGTGGGCTTGCCTCATCTCTACAACAGGAAAGAGCCTCAACCACCAAGCCATTTCATTTTAAAGGCAAGGGTGCAAATATTTAACGGGAAAAAGATCTCAATTTTGTTTTTAGAAAATAAACAAAATCTATACCTTAAAACTAGCTGAGGGGGGAAGCAAATTAAAGTTTTATAACTTGTTTTCTTGGCACTTTCCTGGATTGTAACAGCTGAAGAAAACCTGAGCATTTTTCTGTTGGGGCTCTACAATAAGAATTATAATAAAGCTTTCATTCCTCTTTTTTCTTTCTTTTCTTATTCTTTAAAGCTTGCATTCTTAACTGGTGTAAGTGCAGTGACTGTTCTCTGCCGCCAAAATAAGAAGGGGTCAAACATTAGGTCAGCATTGTTCCAGAAGATGTACTCATTCAAAAAACAACTGAGGTACCTATGACCCAGTTCTATGCTACTTTGGGGGCACAAAAATAAATAAGGAGGATCCCCTCCCTTCAAGGAACTCCTAGTCTGAAATGCATGGGAAATGAGGCTGTAAAGACAATTAAGATGAAAGATAACATTCAGTCAGAGGCAAAGGAGTCTAAGGGGCTGTCACAGCTAAGGAAGCCGCACAATCAGCTCAGGCACAGCATTCATTTGTCCCTTGGTGCTGGTGATGCTACCTTATCTGATGGTGGCACATTAGGAGATGAGGGGCATGCCTGCAAGGACCTGAGCTTGTGGGTCTTATACAGGGAGGGTGGATTTCATAAATCAGTGACAAGTCCTAGTATATCTAAAGTTTCTTTTTTCCTCTCTTTGGCAAAACAGTTTTTAAAAGATGACACCAATGAGGAATATAAAAGTTTTTAACATTTTTAGAGAATAATTCAGCCAACCTTCTCAAGCTTAATGAGCACTCTCCTGAAACCTCCAAAAATGGGCATAATAGAATTAAAAGGAGCCAGTCTTACGTTTGCAGCTTCAGGATGTGAAATGAAATGCAACTCTGTCCAATTACCATAGAAAGCAACAAACAGAACTTTCAAGTAAAATTTTTTCTAATATCCAAGAACCTTTTTAAACAAACAAAATCTCAGATCCAATTTTTTTTTCTAAACAAAATGACTGTTCTTGCTTTTTAAACATTCCCTGTTTTGCTACACAACCCTCAAACAAACTCTCCAGGGTTTCAGAAAAATCAGACGGACAGGGGTGGCCACAAAAGGGAGTTAAACTTAAGATCGCACACACATCTGCGGAGTGTTAAGGTATGTTTTGGTCCTGGAAGTTCAGGGCTTAAAGCAAAAGTGACTTTAGTTCCCCTCCATCACCCCGATTAAGTGCCTTTCAAACACAGCGTGACCGTTCACTCGACTCCTAACTTGGGGCTGTTTTAACGTCACCCGGGGAAGGGCCACTACACAGAGCAAATAAATACCTTAGTTAACTGCAATTCCGTATTTGCACACTAACCACTAACCCCAGTCAGGAACTAAAAGCAACAACAGACATCCAATCGGAAAAGAGAATCCTATTTTTGGCCGAGGGCTCGCGAAAGAAGAGAAAACCCTTAACTTTGGAGATTCGTCCTCAAGGAACGCTCCGAAAGCATCTGCCTCGCTCTTGCCCGTCACCACGTCTCCAGTGCACGGCGTTCCCCAGGTGGCAGCGGCGGCCCCGGGGCCGCGCGCGGGTTACCTGCTGGGTCAGCGCGCGCTCCCGCCGGGCGCAGGTTCGTGGGCGCGCCGAAGCCGCGGCGCGGGCCCGGCCCGACTCGCGGGCGCCGGGGGGCTCCGTCCCGTCCCGCGGCC